ATTTGACAAGTTGAATATTGTGTTTATGTTGTCTCTACAAAATCCAGAGGCATGAAAAGTGTCATAGTGAGACTCTTCATTGATAAATTTGTGTTGATGATGTTGAAGTGTCTCTACAATAATGCATAACTTTTTGTCATAGTTAAAGTTGTTTCTATTTCTTTCATAACATTTATTTCCTTTAAATAATTGAAGATGTGTATATATTATTCTAAAAAACTTTAAATAAAATATCAATAAAAATTATAAATAGAAGGAAACTTATAATTTTGTAAAAGTTAATAAGTGCATGCCAATTTGAACATGGCCATTCTTTCTTTAGATCAATCATGATTCTAGTATTCAAGACTACATAGCTTGTGAATATTGTAACACTATTCATAAACATATATTTGGAGGGATTTGAATTTAATTTCTCATCTCAAAGTGTATGTTTTGATTTTTCTTGCTAAAAACAGTAGAAGCGTGAAAGTATTAGATAAAAACTTTAGAAATAAATGAATAAAACATGATTCAAGGGATAACAAGGACTCCATTGAGCCCTTCTTTCGTTTCAAATGTTGTATGTCAATCATTCCCATTTAGCATACAATGTCTATGTCAAACACTCATTTTTAAAAAATATGTAAGCACAATAAAGTAAGATATACAGGGGTACACAAGTCAAATTGTTTTATGCACATTACATGCGTAATTATCATGATTTTTATTTATTTAAATGATTTATAGATGAAATCTTAAATGCAAACCATTGGTACTAATTTGAATGAAAGCTCATTCAAAGTGCATACTTCAGCCTTAAATCAAAAGTACAATTCATCCTAAAGGGTAAATTACATCTCTATTCTTTGAAAAAAATCACTACTTCTGTGGTTAACTCATTCAAAACTGTTCATTGAAAGAAAATTATTCCATATTCCCTTATTGGGTTTGTAAAAATTTCTTTTTGAGAGGATGAAGAGAAAATAAATCCTTCACTGAACAATGAATACCCTTTTTGCCATCATGCATCATTTTTTAATCATATTTTTAAATTTAAATGTTATCCTTATAAAAAGTCATCTTTATCATTTCTCTAGATTGAAAGTTTGATTGATAACATTTAGAAATTGTGAATAAATTACAACTTTTGAAACATACTAAAAAGAGTATGGGAGAGAGTGTGTAAAAGTGGAAATATCATCTCCACAAAATTGAGTGGCTCATTGGTTCAATGTTGCTCATAACTTGAGTATGAGTTGTGATAGTCGTATGTTGTTGTATATGAAGCTCCTATTCTTCCTTCATTTTCAACTTTTGGACAAAATTAACAATAAAAAATATCGGAGTTGACTCGTATCTTGAGCCTCTGATTCAAGGTCTTCCAAGTATGAACCATTCGTTTGGCCTCCAAACTTTACAGTACTACATAGAAGTTTTTAAATGGTAATTCAAACCATGGAATGAGTCTTTAAGAACCAAGACACTGGGGATACTCACTAACCAAATCTAATTACCGCCAAATTATGAAAACATAATTAGTACAAAGCATCTCAAGAAGCAACAAGTAAAAGTTACTGAATCCAAAACAACCGCATTAGAAAAAAAATGGAGAAAAAACTTCGTAATAAATATTTTATGAACATTTTAGGAAAAATTATTTCGTGTACCAGTTCCACAATGTATGAAGAAATAAAATTGAGACAAAAGTAGAAGGATAACAACTAAGAAATCTATAAAAAAGGAAATATAAATGTTCAAAATTATCGAAGCATTACGTTGCATTTGTCCAGCCTTGTAGGCCTATGAGGATGTAGCCTCTTTAACGATGACCTAAGAGACACTCACAACCCCACACCCCAAGGGTTACACACTATTTGCACCTAACTCATGAGGCTTGAGTTTTCTGTTATCTCTATTGACGAGATTATATTAAAAGACAACTAACTTCCCCACTATCGCTCTTTATATGAGAATTCACGTTACTGTAACTCTTTTGTCACAACTTGACTCTTTATAACCATCATGATAAAATAAAATATTAATAAGATTAGCCTTTTTTATATCCAAATGATGAATTGAAAATACTACATCATGAGTCTCCTCTCCATCAGCCCACAAATCTATATTAGAGGCTAGAACCGCAGCAGCAGGCCTATGAGAATCTCAACCCTTCCTTCTCCCCCTACCAGTTTCTACCTGGGTCGCCTGGCCGGAGAACGGCATAAAAAAATACTCCCACCTCTCCTTTTTATCGGACTCCTTACCGCCGACTTCGACCAACTGCCCTGCTCGGCCTTCTCTCCTTTCCGCCGGAGTCCGGAGCCCCCGAATCTCCTCATCTAGCCGCTTATGCTCGGAGACATTAAATAAACAGAAGGGTTCGCATGACCACTAGCATCATGGTGATGCGATTGACCCGCTGGCGGTCGTCTCCTCCAACCGGCGGAAAGAGGGCGGGGCGGGGAAGCATGACGCTGGGGCCTGGCGATATCTCTCCGAAGATCGCGTACACGACCAAGCTCCTATTTCACACGTGAAGCTACAGGGACGGCGGCTGGGGACCAACGACTACACCTAACGGCGGTGGTGCCAGGGGGAAAAAAAAGCCAGCCAAACCAGACCTCAGGCAGTCATGGAAAGCCATCCGACCGGATCCTGTAGGGCAACTCCTCCCGGCACCCGGCCCGTCCGGCAGAGGAAAGCTTGCGGACGGGACGATGATCCCCACCGTTCACCAACTTTCCTGGGGACCTTGTCGACCACTTGCGCCGGTCAAAAAGAAGACCACGAGGGGACTGGAGGAGACAGGAGCCTCAGTACATCCGATTCTTCGAAGAGGCCCAGAAACATCTCTCTCTCTCTCTCTCTTCGCATAGATTTTTGGCAAAAAACAAAGAAACTCGCGTAAATACTCACATTTTCAGAGAAAAATGCTTCTAAGTAGATTACATACGTAAGTTCTCTTCCCTCCCTCCATCCCATAGAAAAAGGCTCAACAAGCCCACTAACCCAATGAGGGGGTCATGGCTGACTTTTCCAGATGTCTATCAAGATGCTTCAAGTTTCTGTAAGGATCAGGGGTTCTATCCTTAATAATGAACGTGAGAGAGAATATGAGACAAATGTCTTTGCGACCGCTCTCTCCTCTCTCTCCTGTCTCTCCCCCCCCCCCCCCTCCATTTGTATACTGGACCGGGATGAACGACAGTCCTAGTATTTTGCGCCTACTCACTACCTAGACTCCCTCTCAAACAGGAGATAGCAGTGGCCTTGAGTTTGTTCAGGCAAACTCTTGACGATTCTCCCCACTAAAACATTATTTTATTAATAAGAAGATGTCGCCTACCCTAAGTTTCTCGATTCTAAAATATCTTCATCGACGGCCTGCGTCACTTGTGGTGGTCCTTACATGCCGAGAATCGAAGATCACGAAGTGGGAGTATCTCGACTGTGTAGGACTAGCATTAATCATTGGGACAAGAACCCCTCAATCCTGTGAATAGTATAAATTTTCCAAATTTATGATCACCTACCGTCCTCGATCTAGGGAGATATGGCATCGCCGCGGTGGATCTTCCACATTATTAAGCTACCTTATGGGTCCATAAAGATTCAGCCAGATGGATAGACAGTACTGGGATCAGCGCAGTGGCCATCGAACAAAGTACTCAGGGGGTTTAAAGGGTCTGCCGGAAACTTGCTGCATCTTTTCTTCAGAGAGAGGTGAAGTCTCTGTGAGGATCTTGGGGAGATGCTCAGCCAGGGGGCATCGCTGCAGCTAGTGATTAACTCTCCAGCGTTCAGCCCCAGATGGATGACTGAAGCAGACTGGTCAAGAGCCTCATAGGAAAGACAAGATAATCTACTACCTCGAATGAGATTAGGGATCTCTCTCAACGGCTTCTAGCTGAGTTATCCCCATGAAATGGTGGAGTTGAAGGGAGAAATGCACCCAGAGAATTTACCAGTATTTATCCTGTTCTTTGGAATGAGGTACTCGGAAAAATATCAAAAGAAAAGCATTTTACTCTAGAGTGCAATAAGGTTAGGGAACATGAAGTAATCGACAAGCACTCTGCACGGTAATACATGAAGATAAATTGCCGTGATCTTAGAACGGATGCACCTTACAATTGATTTCTCATTGATAGAAATCGAGTATCAAATCCATCTTTCTCTCTCTCTCTCGCTCGCTCGTTCTCCCCTTCTCCATCTCTGTATCTATATATGCCTGTCTGTCTATGAATATATGTGGTTATCTATCTATCTCTCGTGTATGTTTACATATTGGTATATAAATGGGCAGATAATAAGCCCGATATGTGGGAAAGCTAGTGATAAGGCGAGATTCAAGGACGCCCAGAAGCGCGGGGAAGCCAAGATAACTGAGCACCAAGGGCTGTGGTCAAACCTTTCACTAGTCAGGCATTTTACTACTGAACTAAACGATGATCTCAGTGAGTAAGCCCTAGAGTTGATTCCTCGATACGGGGAGTAGTTGAGTAGATCTTATATCCATCTCTCTATCTCTCTCTTCCTTTACCTCGGTCTCCCTCTCTCTCCCTCTGCGCCCCCCCCTATTTATCCATCTATGTCTCTGTCGTATTGCATGCTGCGGTGTCGCAAGTTCAGCAGCATCTGAAGAGGGTGTCTGTTCGTGACGCCAGAGAAGTCCCATTATATTCGGGTTAGCAGACAGCTTACGAAGGAAACAGATGGGGTTTAATAATAAAGTACCGGCAGAGAGGGGGGGGGGGGTTGGGGATGGGAGAGATGGCAGTGTACCCCTAAAATAATCCATTATCCTCATATAAAGAAATCTATGACGAAGCCTCAGAGGTAGATTATATGAAGCCCCGTCTGGTTCCCCCTGAAGTACAGTGAAACCTGCCCAACAAATTCCTGAGGAGAGAAGCCATGGCCATCGGCGTTAACTGGGAGATTCCAATCCTCACAGTTTCCTACACGCGCTTCCTGCCTTCCTACCTCTTTGTTTGTCAATAAATGGTCTTTCTTGG